TGGAAGTGTTACTACATTTGGTTTACCCTTTCCCCTCCTGTATTCGTTCATCTGGTTATGCATTCAGCAAAAGTATTTGAACTCCTTCTGGGCAAGGTTCCAGAGGCTCAGAAATGAATAACAGAGTCCTTGCCCTTAGAGCTTGTGCAGAAGCAGACAGAGCAACACAGGGACACTCTGCATGTACAAAGGACAGTTGTAGTCTTGGGAGGTCAGAAATCCTGGGTTTAAATTAAGAGGAGTTCCCAACCCTTGGTGGGGTGGAGTGAGGTTCGCTCTAACTGCTCTGATTAGAAAAACTGGGTTGGAAAGGGATTTGTAGGTAGCCTAGCAGACTTGGCTTTAAATCCTGGCTCTGTCATTGACGGTGGGAACCCAGGGAGACTTTGACCCCTGGACAGTGTTGACCTCATGTATCAATTCTCAGTTAATGCCTCTCAGTTCCAAATTTATCCTTCAATATACGCTCTGTGCTAATAATTCCATTATTCTCCTTTAATGTCAACACGATGTGAAGCTTTCTCAGTAGAGGGTGCTGGAAGGACACTGCAGGGGGAAGAGGACTCTTGTATTAACAATTTCAGCATTGGTGGGGTTGGTGAGACGGACGGTGGTCATCTTGCCCCAGCTGTGGGGCCCAGAACGTGGTCCACCTGCAACCTTGTAGCCTTAGCCTAGTGAGAACCTTTCTGCAGCCTTGTCTATTTGGAAACCAGAGCCCGCCATGGCCCGCCCCTGCTCTGAAGGCCTCCTGCCTGGACCAATGCCAGACTTCCCTCCACAAGCCCGTGTGGCCTGTTCACAGCCACCAGGGCCTGGAGCACAGAGCAGTGGTTCCCTCTGCATCTTAGTCTGCTTCTGTTGCTTATAACAATACCTGAAAGTGAGTAATTTATGAAGATAAGGAATTATTTCTTCCAGTTATGGAGGCTAAGAAGTCCCAGGTCGAGGGGTCCCATCTGGCGAGAGCCTTCTTGCTGGTGGGGACCCTCTAAAGTCCTGAGGCTATACAATGTATCACATGGCAGGGGGCTGAATGTGCCCATACGCTAGCTCAGGTCTCTCTTCCTCTTCTTAGAAAGCCACTAGTTCCCCTCCCAGGATAACCCATGAATCCGTTAGCCACTAACCCATTAATCCATGCATGGATTAATCCATTCCTGAGGACAGAGCCCTCATGACCCAATCACCTCTTAAAGGCCTCATCTCTCAATACTGCCACATTGGGGATAAGGTTTCCACATGAGTTTTGGAGGGGACATTCCAACCACAGCACTCTGCAAAGCCCCCACCCTCACCGCACATGACCCACATGTCTACAGGGCTCAGCCTCTGCCCCAGACTCCACTGCACGCCCTGCCACTGGACGCTGCCCACCTGCTCCCTGCCTGCACGGGGAAGGGTGGTCTATTGCTTGCCCAGCAATTCCAGGCCAGCTCTGGCCTGGCTAAACCAGCAAATTTCTCTGCTATCTGGTGGCCTAACCAAACCTTCTCTAGCTAGATCTAAACCCTTCCCGAGTTAGTCCTTCTTTGGTACTTTCCCTTACTTAGAGTATTGCACAGAATTTCCTTGTACCTTATACTACTCTTCCATCACAGTTAACAATTCTTTATATTAAATCTCTTGTATAACCTACTGTGTGCTTTCTGTGATTGGACCCAGGCTATGCACCTCGTCAGTAAAGAGGAGATGATGACATCTTAATTTCAGATTTATTTTATGGATCAAATGAGAAAGCCCTCGTAAAGCCCGTAGCTCAAGGCTCTGCTCAACCGGGCTGTTCAATTTCCTCTTTGCCTTAGCTACCTCTTTCTTTTCACAGAGAAGAAGGGAAACCAATGTCAGTGAGTGCCTTCCGGGCATCAGGCAATATGCCAGACACTTGTCAAGATGGTGCTGACGTGCCTGTGGTTAGCCTTAAAGGAGGAGACAGAGGGTCAGAGAGGCCAAAGAGGTTACTTGGGGTCATGCATGCTATATTTGATTAAGCTGGGCTACAAACCCAACCAAGCTGTCAGTCCTCTGAGTCCACACACCACACACCAGGGTGGGCTTCCTCCTAGAGCCCCAAACACTCCTTCTGTTCACCTGCATGAGAACAAACATACATAACAAAGTCTCCTGTGTCTCCTCGCTCACTCTGTGATGAGAGCAGCTGAGCAACAGAAGAATCATTTGCTGGCATTCTTTTGTGATGACTTAACTAAGAGATCAACTCCTAAAAGAAAGGTCTGATTCATTTGAAAGGTATGAGTCTGTGGTTTCCCTTTCTCTGTAAGCTGGCCTCTGAATGAGAACCAAGGAGCCCACTCTGGGAAAGGGTGCTAAAAGCCTTGACAAATAAGTACTGGGCTGCTAAAAGCTTCGCTTTGAAAAAAATCCCATTGGTTGAAATCAAATTTATGGAATTTCACATCAGCAGTTTGTATGGTTTGTTGCTGGAACAGAAACTTCTACAGGCCAGTAATCTTTCTTATGTTTCCTGATATTTCCCAGATGCTTAGAACAGCGGCTGGTACATAGTAGATGTTCACTAAATGTTTGTCAAATGTGTGATTTACATGGTCAAGGCTTTGCCATATTTCTTTACATGTGGGACTACACTAGGGTATTTTAAAGTAGAATTTTAATTTAAAAGCAAGAGAGGGAAGGAGTGAATGAATCTTAATAGGAACATAACTGTTTTATACATCAAGACATGATAGTGTGATGATCTCTTTTAGCGACCAGACTTGTCCTAATCGAAGCTTACTTGTCCTATGATTCATGTTCTCTAGATATGAGTGTCTTCCAGGCATCAGTCTATTACTCTATTGATATGGTAGTAATCAATAATGGTGGATAAAAATAAAAATGTCATCCCAGTAAGTGTCATGGCAGCCTTTTAACTGAAGTCCTTTGGACAGCATTGCCCAGTGCCAGGCAGAGAATTCTACACATGGCAGCTCCTCTGTAAATGTCTGTTGGCACTGAGGATGCTGTGACAATAGCAAGACTTAAAACAAAGGACTGACAGAGGAAGCGGAAATCCAGGCAGGACAGAAAGGCCTGAGCCGGGGTGGTGGTGTTTTGGGCTGAGCAGTCCACCCTCACTTTCTTGCTTAATAATTCAGTAGCTTTGTGCTATAGTATGTTATAAAAAATCTGAACCAAAATAGCAGATAAAAAGAACAGCCTCTATATGTGTTATAGAGGTTGAGGTTCAGAGAAGAAACTGTATACACCTCAAACTCTTTTGACACTTTTAAAATCCCTGTTTCTTATTTCCCAGAAATTATCTTTTTTGTCTTCCCTTTTCCTTTCTAACATAGTGAGGAAGAAAAATGGATACAGAAAGAGACTAAATATATCTTTTCTTTTTAGAAACATCAGAATGTGAACCAGTAATGCTTATGGTTAAAAGTCGCCTTTAAAATAGGGTCTTCCCAAAGTCAGAAGCAAAGTCCAAACCTTTCAAATGTAGAGGTTTAATAGGTAAAGTTGGGTGGAATTGTCTCAACTGGTACCTGGGTCATTCATTTATTCATTCTCTCAACAAATATACTGGGAGAGAGACTCCGTCTGCTGCCTTCTCTAAGACCAATCATCAGTTCCCTGCACATTTGAATGGGGCAGCTCCAGGGCAGGAGTCCTGGGGGCAAAGATCGAGTTGCTTGCCAAAAGTTAGTGGCAATTCCCTGCTCCTTGGCTAGACGTAATTTTGTTTTGTTTTGAAATAGTTGATGAGCTACAAGTTCTACGAGATAAGAATTTAGTCAGAGCTGCTGCTTCCTTGAACAATATCCAGTATCATACAACATTCAGATAGCGCCATAGTAGGTTCCATCCTTAGAATGTGAGATTTCTTTTCCCTTCCCATCTCCCTTTTTCCCCCTCTCCTTTTTTCTCAAAAACCTATGCAGTCCTGACTCCCCCACTTCTTGTGGAGGTGGTTTACCTGCCACAGGGCATTTGCTTTCAAGTCTAGGAGGCATTCTGCGATTTTTATAGCCTTCTCGGGGACAGAAATGATTGGCAGTGCTGATAGCCAATCATAACCCCATTACTCCATTAGAGGTGGGTTCAAAGGACAGGCCTCTCTGTTCTTTAGTAACATTATTGTCTTTGTTTAGTGTGGCTATTACAGAATACCTGAGACTGGGTATCTTATCAGGAAAGGAGGTTTATTTGGCTCATGATTCTGGTGGCTGGAAAGTTCAAGATTGGGCATCTGTACCTGGTGAGGGCCTCAGGCTGCTTTAGCTGGTGGTAGAAGGTGAAGAGAAGCCTGTGTGTGCAGAGATCACATGGCGAGAGAGAAAGCAAGGGGGGGTGGTGCCGGGCGTTTTTTAACCGCCAGCCCTCATGGGAATTGACAGAGTGAGAACTTATTCCCCCCAAGGGATGGCAGTAATCTATTCATGAGCAATCCGCCCCCATGACCCAAATGCCTCCCATTAGGCCCCTTCTACAACATTGGGGATCAAATTTCAACATGAGCACAGAGGGGACAAACATCCAAACCATAGCAATTACTAACCAGCAAGCTTTCATATTTTGGGGACAAAGATTGTTCATTACTACTTTGTAAGTACTGTATGTTTCATTTGTTATGATTGTGTGAAATTTATCTTTCTGGAATGATGTGCACAGCTTTTGTTATGACTTACTTGATCAAAATAGGTAACATTCCATTTATTTCCATCTTTTTTTCTGAGAGAGAGAAAGAAAAAAAATCATTAAATAAATGATGATTGTCAGGAGGTTTTTTATTTATAATGATGAATTTGACCAAGGGTCTCCTGGAACGTAGAATTTTTTCAGTTTGCAGTTTTCTAGGAAGTCTCGAATAGCTAGAGAGAATTTGGGATTCATGTTTAGATTTCAATCATTCCTGCTACTCTTTTTTTTTTCCATTATTACAGTCTTCAAGGATTAACACTCTTGGGCTTGCAGTTGTGTCCTGTTGTGGGCTCTCCTAGGAACAATTCTATTAATACCACTTTTCATCTTCCTAGGTGCAAATTCGGGAAATGGTCAGGGAGAGAATCTCTCTCAGCCGCACGCCAGCTTTCTCAGAGCCTGCTGCGGAGGAGTCTCCATTCACTGGGACCACAACAAATTCCTTCCCCGACTTAGGAGGCGTCCACGAGGAAAATGCATCCTTGACTCAGTACCTAGAGGTTGAAGGCTGTATGCAAGGCCCACAGGATAAAGAAAAACAAGACAGAGAAGGCAACACACATGGAGATTTCTGGGAAGACCTAAAACATGAGCTTAGCATCCCAGGAGCCAATGACAAAACTATGTCCCCAGGTGAGATCTCAGGGCCTCTCCCCGAGGATGCCAGCGTGGACTCCGGGGAGCCTGAGGCTCTCTCTGTTGCTGCCCCTGAACCCACAGATACCGCCATCACCCTGGAAAATTCATGCACTGGGCCAAGGGGCAAAGAAGCAGTGTGTGTGTTGGAGTGTTTTGAAGCCAGTGGCCAAGGAACATGTGACACCGTGGATTCTCCTGGTGGGGCGCCAGTTGATAAATATTTACCTCAAGAAATTTGCTCCATGGGCTTTGAGCTGGCAGAGGGTCATAGCGAAGTATCTGATTTATGTTCTCCTGATGCCAAGACGCTGGAAGTTCTTTTTCAAACACAAGGATCTGAGACTCCACAGTCTACATGTGAAGGCAGCAGGGATGGAAACTCGGCCATGTCCCCTCTTTTTGTCAGTACTTTCATCTGGAACGTTTCACGCAAGGCCAGGGAAGGTGAAAGTCCAGCCGAGGCGGAGAACTCCTGTTCCACGCTGGCCTCCGCAGTCCAGGCTGGCCAGGAGGGGCTGAGCCCCGGCAGCCTGGGGGGGCCAGAGCAGACACAGCTGCTTTCTTCTGAGAACAGCTCTTCCGTGCAATTGAAGGAGGGAGGTGACAGGGTCCCCAGTGCCATTGCCACAGACACCACAGACGTGCCAGCCAGTCATAGTTCCGTGGTGAACTTCCCTCGGGTGACACCAACAACATTAACCGCTGATATTGAGTGTCTCCAGGTGACCAAGGAAACTGAGGGCACATCGACTGTTGCCATTGTCCCCAAAGTCCACCCAGCCAAATACCTGGCCGCTTCACTTGCAGAGAACAGGCATGCAGATGGCACCGAGGAGAGCTTACCTCAGGCACCAGATGAACATTTTCCCCAATTTCCTTCCAGTGTACAGCGGGGTCATATTTTAAGTGGTTCCAAAACCAAATCTACAAAGGAACTACTTTGCGTGGCACCCGGGGTTCCAGGGGTCTGTGGCCCTGTTCCCCTGCTCCTGGAGGGAGTGGGTTTCTGCAGCTATTCCCCCCTCCACACGGATCTCCCGTCTGGAGATGAGAGCCAGACCGTGGGCCGAGCAGACAGTGGCAGCCTCGATGAGAGTTTCCGAGCAGGAGGAAGTGAAACAGAGTGGAGGACCCTGCAGGAGAGGCTGCCCCGCCAGGCTTCTCTTTCTGCGGATAAGACCCGAGAAAGTTGGCCCGTGATGTTTGCTGCACAAGAGGAGATAAACTCAATGGCCTTGGACCACTCGCCAGCAAGCTCTAGGGAAGGAAGAGGGCAGAATTCAGGCCTGGGGACACGTGTCCCTGTGGTGGCTGGCGTAATTGTGGAAGACGACGGTCAGGCTCTGAGCGAGGTTCCACCTCCCCCTGACATCCTGCTGGAAGAGTCTAAAGAGCCTGGACCAGGGAATGGGGAAGCAGGCAGCACACGGAAGATTGTAACTCTAGAGCCTTCTGTTTTGGAACTCTGGCCACCAAAACCACTGACGAATTCTGAGCGCAAGGAGTCAGAAGCTGGTCCCCTAATTCCCGACAGGGCCTGGGCTGCATCTGACACTCTAGAGGCAGATGCTGCTGTGCCCGAGCCGGACCCCTCTGAGACGGCGGCATCGGCTCCCAGTCCTCTGGGTGCTGACTCAGCCCTTGCTGGGGACATAAAAACCCGTCAAGGTAAAGAACCAGCCATCAGAGCACACGGGAGCAGTCTTTCTTCCCCGGATTTGCGCCAACCCAGGCTCCTGGAGTCATCCGTGGACCCTGTGGATGAGAAGGAATTGTGTGTCTGTGTTGCAGATTCACCATCGGAGGCTTCTGAAACTGGAGGGAAGAAACATGCTCACAGTGTGAGTCAAGACAAGGAGGGAAACCGAGTCAAGGTGGCTCACCCTGCCTTCTTTAAACAGTTGCTGACCTGCTCTCAAATCCTGGAGTCCTCTGTGGACCCCATTGATGAAGACGGTGTGGCGGAGGGCACCGGGGCTCAAGAGCCAGAGCCTTCTGAAGCCACACTGGGGGGCGTCAGAGAGTGGAGCAAATCGAATGACGGGAACTTGGGCCAGAGAGTGGAAGTCCCACCTGCGGACTGGCATGTCCTGCATCCTGACGAGGAAGGGAAAAGAATTCTAGGTGGCTGCAGCATGAGCCAAATCCAAGAAGGCAGTGACAGGAGCTTGGGGGAGGCTGAACGAAGTACAAAGGACAAAGCAGAGTGTATTTCCCCCACTGCAGCTCTTTCTAGTTGTCTTGCAACAATGACTCCTGCATCCGTCGGGGTTAATACTCACAACTCCACAGGCCAAGTCCATGTGGTCCCTACACATGACTTAGATGAGCCCAGAAACCGTGCATATGTATTTTCTGACTCACAGGAGAGTGGAACTATTGAGAATGAGTATGGGAATCATTTTCCCTCTTCTAGTGATCTTATGAGGTCGCCTCGTACTTCATCTCCTCAAGGAGACGTGGCCAACTGTTCCATAAGCCACAGAATTGAGGAACCTAAAATGGAGGGGCCTCGAATTGGGGGAACCAAACCCCCGTGCTCATCAGACTCCCCGGTGATGACTTTGGCATCCATTTCAGGAGACTGTGAGTCAGAGAAAGCCCCTAAGTTCCTGCAGGACCCACGTCCAAAGGGCGCCCTGGGCTGTGTGAGAAAGTCAAGGGCAGCCCAAACTGGCAAATTCCCAGGGACCCTCCCCGCAGTGACCGGGTCAGAGGAGGTCAAGAAGAAGCAAGAAACCTCAGGAAGCGGACATCTAGCTGAGGGAATAAAGAAGAAAGTTCTGTCCAGGGTGGCAGCCCTGAGGCTGAAGTTGGAAGAGAAGGAAAATGTCAGAAAGAACTCGAGCTTTCTTAAAAAGGTACCTAAATTCGAAAGGTCCTTATCGCACACAGATGAGAAAAAAGACCCCAAAAAGCCATCTTGCAAAAGAGAAGGAAAAGGTGAGGCTCTGCTGCTTTCTGTCATTGTTAAAGTTTGGGTTTGTAGACCAGGTGACAGAGTCCTTTGTAATGAAGGTGAGTGTCCCCCAGGTGGGCTAAGGTTGTGCCCAAGTGGCTTGAGCACAGAAGTGGCATCGTGATCTCCAGGAGAGCTTGTTAGGACACGGATTGCTGGGCCTCACCGCCAGCGTTTCTGATCCAATGCATGTGGCTCAATAATTTGAGTTTCCAACAAGTTCCCTGGTGGGGGGTGGAGGCAATGACACTTGAGAACCGCTGATAAGACCACCTGTAGGTATGTTTGGCTGAGGGGGTGTGATTGAGGTGCCTTTCTGTTTAATTATCCTTTTTAGAAAAAAATTTATTGAAAAAAGGATAAACAGAAGCATTCATCAGTATAGCTGATTAGTATAACAGGCCACACACTAAGCGGGATTGATGGAAATAAATATTTCGTTACAATTTGGGATTCTCCTCTTTAATCATTGATTTTTCATTAAAAATGGCTTCCTTGAGCCTTGGATTTTCCTTCCAAATTTGAGTATAAAATTTCTTTACAACTCACCCTTCCCATTTATGTGAATCTACCATCCCAGGTTTCAGATCACTCGAACCTCGAAAGCCCTGTAGTTATTTCTGCTTTCCGTAGGGAATCATTTCAGCCCCAAATTCCACTCTATAGCCCAGATTTGAGCCTCTTTTAATTTAGAGCTCTTCTTTCCTGTCCCATGTACCCTGGTAGAAGTTGGAAGAGAGAGAATACCGCAGCAGGTGACAGTGGCCGGCGTGCGCTGGAGCAGAAAGCTGCCACCCTGTTTTCGGAAAGGAGGAATTTTCTCCTCCCTTAACCTCAGTCCTCGACTTTGAGGCTGGTGTTTGTTATTCCCAACACACATCAAAACGGCTCTTAGCCCCTGTTGCAGAGAGGATTAAAGACAACACTGCCTTCTGGAGAGTTTGGAAGTCGCCAACCCAGTTATCAGGATATTTGTTTTTAAACATCTTTAAAGAGACTGAAGCAGCGTTTTAAAAACTCTCTCTAAAGTGGTTTCGGCCCAGAGGCTGAATAGGTTGCCGCTGGGGGCCGCCTCCTGCCTGGCGTGTGGGGATTTCCTCTGCAGGGAGAGACAGACAGTGCAAACGCTCTGTGTGGAAGTCTTGCTCACGATTACGCAAGTTACCTGTGGGGCAAAGGGTTGTCTAGATAGCCGCTTCTGGGGAAGAGGTTTTGCTTTCAGCATAGTACAGCCGCCTCAGAGCACTGAAGGAGGCAGAGCACGGGACATTCTGGGAGGGGCTGGTGCCAGGAAGTGGGTCCCTGCGAGGGCAGCTGGCTACTTCCTGAGAGAGCCCTGCCCGAGGCCACCGGGTAGAGACAACCAAAGACTTTTCCAGGCCAGACCAGAGAATGACTGTTACCAATGCCACCCAGGACACGGAGACCGTTCAGAGGCAAAGATTCAGAGCTGGGGCTATGTGCAGGTGGTGGGGCCCTCCCGGGTGGGAGGAAGCTCTATAACAAAGTGGTTGGGAGTATGGATTAAGAACCGTATAGCTTGGGTTTAAGTCTGGCCTCTGCCAATAACTGGGCTGCCTTGGACAAATGCTTTAGCCTCTGGGTGCCTCAATTTCCTCACCTGTAAAATGGGAGCATTGATCAAAGCAGTCATCTCAGGTATAAAAACGCATAGCAATTTGAATGGTGCTTGGCCCAGCACAAGCCCTCATGGTTATTAGCTACTTTAAAAAAAATTATTATTAAATAACAAATAAGGCCATTTTTATGCCAAATATTATGTTCATGAAATAAATTAAGAATTTAATTCAGACACAATGATCTGAGTTGATACTAGTATTAGAAGAAAAAGTGGTGCTTGTATACAGAGCCTCTCCTCTCTGAAGAACTCAGGGTCTCACCTGTGAGGTGAGTGAGCAGGCAGGGCATGCACCTGAATTACTCTTTTTTTTTTTCTTTTTGAGGCAGAGTCTTGCTCCGTTGCCTGGGCTAGAGTACTGTGGTGTCAGCCTAGCTCACAGCAACCTCAAACTTCTGGGCTCAAGTGATCCTCCTGCCTCAGCCTCCCGAGTAGCTGGGACTACAGGCATGTGTCACCGTACCCAGCTAATTTTTTCTATATATTTTTAGTTGCCCAGCTAATTTCTATTTTTTTTTTTTTTTTTTTTAGTAGAGACAGGGGAGGGGGGGTCTCACTCTTGTTCAGGCTGGTCTTGAACTCCTGACCTTGAGCAATCCTCCAGCCTCTGCCTCCCAGAGTGCTAGGATTACAGGCGTGAGCCACCGCGCCCGGCCTGAATTACTCTTGAGTCAGCAGCTAAATGGGAGTCCAGGGCGGGTTTTGCATGCACCTGTGTAGGTCCTCACCCTATAGTCCTTCTGCAGCTTGTGGCGGATTTCCTTTGCAGGGAGAGACAGAGAAACAGGTGCCTGCAACACTGGCACTGCAACACCCAGTTTGCTAGGAACACCGCTCCCCGTCCTGACTACAAACCAACACTAGGTCATTCCACTGAAAGAGCACTCGACCTGACTGGGGAAATAACTGCTTGACCAACGTATTTATTCATTTATTAAGAACATGCCATCTTACATGGTGACCCCAGTTACTTGTGATAATTAGTGCACTGAGTATTCATTTAATAAGAATCTGCTGTGTGCACTAATCCCTATGTGCCAACACAGGTGATGACAAGAGACAGGAAAATGATTCTCTCCCAGCATTTACCTTTTGGGATGGCAGCGTTCAGAGGGCCCACCCTTAACAATGGCCTACTTTTTCCTTTTAACATATCACTTTTTAATTGTTCATTATGGATTTCTATCTGTGGGCCAATTCCTTTAAGAATCTGCCCAACCAGCAAGACACTCAGAGGTTTTGGTTTCATTTTTCCAGTGTAAGCCATAGCAATTTTATCGTTTTTTTTAAAAAAAGTTGCCACCAAGGAGACACCAGACTAGGAAGTTCTCATTGCTTCTTGTGGTGTTGGCTTTCCTAAGACCCTGAGCCCTGGTCACTGCTTCTGGCTAGTACACTGCAGAGCCCTTGGGTGACACCTTGACTGTGTCTGCCCACCCTGCCACCCCCAAGGGAGCACAGATTTAACGCCCTCCTACCAGGGACCTGGTGGGGCAGGAATTAGGAGTGTGTGTGTGTGTGTAAGGGGGTGACTTGGATAATTCTGGAAGAAATAAACACTGAGTAACCTTTTTTTCACATTCAAAGCTTAGTACAACTGAAGCGTTATGTTCACCAGGGGACTTTGCTGTCGGTTTCCCTCAACACCTGGCCGGAATGCACACAGAGGAGAAACCTGGCCACAGGCCAGGTCTTCTCTGAGCTCATCGGCTGCATTTCCACCTCTGTCTCACACACACGGGGTCCTTTCCAAAGCCCCAAGGCCCCTCGTCCGAGCCAGCTCCGCCTCTCCTGCTGACCAGCGTTCTGTTCTGCGGCCCATTGCATGCCCTTCCCTCCACCCCCAATTTCCCAGTGTTCAATGCTTAACGGCAGGCTGTGGCAGCTGTGGGCAGATTTGGGTGACCCCAAATCACCCAGGAAGACTGCCACCACATGGCGTTGGAAAGGCCCTCGAGGAAATGGCCCAGATGAGGAGAGGGCTTGGTCAAGACCTGAGTTTGACACTGTGCCCCTGGACACAGCCTTGGCCTGGCCAGGAACCACTGGGCCCAATGAGCCCAGACGGGGGTTGCCATTAAGAAGTGCCTGGTGTATTTTTTCTCTCTCATTTAATGCAGGCGCTATTTTACTATAGTGCAATTGGAGGCAATGGAGCTAACGAAGTCTCAGGACTGATGCCTTTTGGCTTGGCTGTGGATGGTATAGTTTTGTAATCATACACTCTTTTGTGGTACCAAAGCTATGGAGTTAAGGTACTTAATTTGTAACAGACTCACCAGGTTTCCAGGAATCTCATTGTCCAAGGGTCGTGATTGCCTGGTGGGGTCCTCCATCTCCGTCTTGTTCTAATGTCTATGCTGCCACCCGGTGGCTGCCCTGACTAATTACACATTTGCCCAGCAGGCCAAGTTCTCATTGCTGATCCAAATAAGAGGCGATTTTCAAAGGTCTCAGGTGGGAATCGTTTCCTTATTGCTTCTATTTTTTCATTCTGTTTTGCTAATGAGATTGATATCAGACGTCATTCCAATCCACAAAGCTATCTTCTGCAAATAGTACTGGGATCAAGGGGGAAAGATGGATGAATATTATTCAGCAAATAACTTATTGTTGAGTGGTCTTTTACATTTTGGGGGCTTAATCACAGTTACCTGGATAGTCCAGGTTTTGCTGTACTCCCTAGTCCTCAGCTCTGATTTTGACCTGGATCATCTGGGAATCATTTAAAGGCACTTTTATTTGGCTGAGATCCCACAGACTAGATATCTACCGTCCTCCCAACCCTCACCCGTTTTTTAAAAAATTTCTCATGTTCTATCTCACTTTAAACACCACAGACCTCACCCAAGGAATTTTAAGTAGTAGAAGTGAGAGTTTTCTATTAGATTGATTTGTTCTTTTTCCTACTGTTTAGGCAACCCACATCTCCCCTTAGACACTCAATTTTCTCATCCACACCTTGGGAATAATAATTATTATTCTGTTGCTTAGGATTGTTGTGCAAATTAAATGAGATGAAATGGGAAAGGCTTTGCCTACACTGACCTGCAAATCTCTTGTTTCTAGCTCCAGTGTTACTGAAAAAGATCCAAGCCGAGATGTTCCCTGACCACTCCGGAAATATAAAATTAAGCTGCCAGTTTGCAGAAATTCACGAAGATTCTACTATCTTGTGGACAAAAGATTCAAAGTCAATAGCCCAAGTGCAGAGAAGGTGTGATTTCTGTCCCTGGTTACTTTTCACAGTTGTTGCTTATTTATTTCACATCGTAGTTGTAAAAGAAAATAATAAATTATAGGAAGTGAAAAGGAGAATTGAAGCAGAGATTCCACACCCACAGTATCCAAGAAGAGTAAGTAATGGAAGATGGTGCCTGGACAGGGAAAATGATGAGGGATTCTTGCTCTGCCTCTGCCACCACTGAGCTCTGTGGTCTTAGGAAGTCACAGAACCTTGCATTACGTTTCTAAAATCAAGGGAACACGTCAAATAACATTCTAGTCTCAGGTTCTGTGGTCCGAAGATGAAAGAGCTCTCTTCTGTATGTCTGTGGATTTTCCTTGTGTCTGTTGTCTGTTTCATAAATTCCCATGAATCTGACAAAGGTCACACAAAGCTAAGAAGGTGAATTGGAAGGAAAAAACAATTCAGGAGGTTACAGAAAAGTAACAGTTGTCGAGGGTGACAGGCCTCCATCTCTAAGGTGGGAAAGCCAGTTTATTTCTGGGTCCGTAGGGTATTATAGGAGAGGAGGAGGAGGAGGAGGAGGAGAGACACGAGAGTGAGAAGCATTGCCAAGAATACCCCGAGTGGAATGAACCATTAACGGCTTCCTTAAGTACCTTCGTGGCCGTAAATGCTTGTTTAAATGAACTGATGAACTCAAGCTTCATCTGACACAATCTAGAAGCAAATCACCTGGTTCGATGGAAACCAGCTTATCTCAACCCTCAAAAGCTGCTTTCTCACGGAAGAGGTCCCAGTTCAGCTCCCTGAGTCATAGCAGGTGTTCTAGTCCCTTAATTTTGTCACAAGTAGACCGAAAAAGTGAGAAAATCTGAGAGTTTTCTGGTTAATAAACCAAATGTGTCTGCTTGGAACATATGTCCAGAAATTATTTCCGAAATCAACTATGCAATACTTGGGCTATAGTCTCATCACTCCAGGGAATGACCGGATCGTGACTGGTATAATAACCACTTTGCCTAAAATGTCACTGTTACCCTGCTTGTCTTAGGTATGGCTTAGGAAGAGCTATAATGGAAAAGAAAAATGGTTTGATTTTTAAATCAAGGAGGTTCCCTAGAGCTTTATAAAGAAAGTAGTTATTCATTTTAAATTATTTTCTGAAGTTGTCAGCCAAGAACAATCAACCAGCATTTCCAGCCATTTTTCAATTAATCAGCCTCGCTGTAAGGTCGGAATCGGCGCTTGTGTCTTGAGGGTCCCTTTTCCATTTGATGTGTATTTACAAAAACCTAAACTTTATCTAGGGAGTATGTGTCATTAGTAAGCATTCTACTTACTAACGACGTGTGCCTAAGGTCTTTAAATTCTTAGTGATGTTTGCTTCATTTCTTCTTGGTGACAGTGTCTGGCTTAGTGGAACCCATTTGTTTTTTCCGGTTCTAACTCCTTTGTTTTTTGAGAGCTCATTTGCATTGTTTCAGGTGGGTTTTCAAACGTGAGCGAATTTCTCTCACCCCTGCTCCCAGATGAGTGTTTCCTTTGCCATGTAGGTCTAGGAGCTGCCTCACTGCCTTGTCAGGGTATGATGTTCAAAGAGCTGAAATCTCTCAAACAGAATGCGAACACAGAGCAAAGGTCTTCTTGAACTTATTAAATAATGAGGGGACTGGTAATATGATAAAACGCCTCAAAGGCACATTTGTGGAATGATGGTTTATACGGCCAATCAGGCAAAGGAATGCGGAAACAGATTTTCGAGTAGATAGAAAACTGGTTAATGTTCCACAGGTCATAGAGCTTGGGGGTCATCTTTCCTACTGCACAGAAACCTACAAGTTAACATGTAACTTAAAAGTGTCTGAGTGGGTTCTATTTAAATGAGAAATAGCAACACATTCCCCCGTAACTAGCTAATCTTTGAGTGAGCTTGTTGAACAGTGACATGCAATCATCCTCTCGCCTTTGTTCCCAAGTTTTGAGTACTTTCCTAAACAGGCTAAAGTTTGGAAATGAGGTGTCAGAACCCTTTCTTGTGACTAGGGCAAGATTAGCATACTCCGAGGAAACCAGGAAGGAGAAAACGATAGCTTGTTCCCAGCATTTGCGCAGCCGTGTTGTGTCGCGGCTCCGTGGAGAGCGCAAGATGGTGCCCTCCAGTGCTGTCTGGGCCATCAGCACCTGCTTGGTGACCAGGAACCCACTCTGGGGAGAGAGGTGCTTGGAGTTCCCTAGGCTTTTGAAAGGGCAGAGGGAGTGGCTCTGCTGACAGCTAAGCAAGGTCTCGGAGCACAGGTCACGTCATCCCTGCTGGGCAGCAAGTGAACGAGGAGCTGGCTGTGTGGACGGTAGGACCTCACTGGATGGCCACAGGAAGGACAACCCAGGGACTTCCCAGCCCGGACGGGATGGTGTGCGGTGGGTGCTGCCTCCCCCAGCTCCTTAGGGCTAGTGATGGGTGATGGGGTCCCTCCGAGAAGTCCCCACGTTAGGCGCTCTCCCTGAAGCCAGTTTCCTTCTTGGCAGTGTTACTGTGATCTGGGCACAGGCTTCTTTTGCACGTGTCTCCACAGCCGGCCACCACTCCTGTTCAGCTCTGTCTGCACTTGGCCATTTCTTCCCCTAAGTTCAAAATATTTTTCCCTTACAGAATAACAGGATATGAAACTGAGCCTTTTCCTCTTGGTTCAAAAAGGCACAAGATCATTTCTTTTCACGTTTCACAGTCACATTGGTATTTTCTGTTTGTGCATCTCCTCCCAGACTAGAGGACACTCATGGGCAAAGACTGTGCCTTTTTTTTTTTTAATCGTTGAATACCCCAGTACTAAGCACAGAGCAGATACTCAACAAATGTTGAACAGAACTCTTTGGGACTTACCGAGGTGGTTTTTGTCTGCGGAGAAAGCCCTCTGACAGTCCTGCTCCCACACTAACGGCTCACGACCACTCACAACACGAGGCTTTTAGCTAAAGTGTCACCTGCCAGAGTGTCAGTTACTCCTCACGACACTTCTCTGAGGTGGTCTTGCTCTTTCTGATCTCACAGATGAGGAAGCTGAGGGTGAGAGACTAAGTAACTCTCTTGAGGTCAGCCTCAGGGTGGGAATCCAGGCCTTTCTGTCCCCTACATCATTCCTTCCAGAAGAAACGCTTGGGGGGCCATGATGAGCTGAGGCAGAGAAAAGTCTCCGTGGTTCTGGGCCAAGCAGCAGGGACTTTCTAGGCTGGAAGGAAGATGTTCAGGAGACAATTCTTCTGTTCAACCCCCAGCCTTTCGGGGGGGATCTTGACCGTTCCTCTCAACGACAGGCTGTGCTGATCTGTAGAGCCCTGGACGTGCCACCAGCCCCTTTGTGACTCACTCAGGGCTTTACTGCCCTGCCAAGAAATCTTTCCCTTGTAACTGGACTTGTTCATGTCCAGTTTAACCACACATTCAGGTATGTTTAGAGGCCCCATTGTTGGAGGAAGTGTTATGATTTAGTGAACCTTGTTTTAAGCCACTGGTGCATTCCGGGAGAGACATATGTAAATTGAAGACTCAAAGTCTATTGAAAAACCAACCAATAAGGCACATTTCTTTTTAATGTGCAACTGAGACAAATTCAAGATAAGTGAATTTTTGTTGTTAAAATATGAAACGAACCCAAACTGAAATGTACACGGTGCACGCACACACACACACAATCTTGGTGAATGTTTAAACAAAATTCATTTTTAAAGAACAAAACTAGAACAATATTTGAACGTCATTTTTTGCTACAAAGTAAGTTTTTTTGTTTGAGACTTTGAAATAAAGGTTGTGGCTTTAACCATAATTCAAATTATCCCAGGTTTGAGGGCAGGGACCCTCATTTACGTGGGAAGGCAGCTTAACGAAGTCAAGATCATTTGTTTAAATCTCTCTATGCCTCAGTTTCCTCATCTGTGAACTGGGAACAGTAATGGTACTTCTCTCATTAGGTTGTTCTGAGGACAACATGAAATAGACCTGTAAGTGATTTAGCACAATGCCTGGTACAGACCAAGTGCTCAGTACCCATTAGCCATTTTCGTCGTCACGATCACCACCACCACCACCGGTTTTTGTTTTCGTGGCACAGTGACTGGAACCTACTACTACTGGGTGGGTGAATGGATGGATGGATGATGTTCACGAGGGCAGTATAGTATGCTATTAAAAAGAGCCCTCAGTCATGAATCTTTATACAGTATAAAGCAAAGAACCTCTTTCTCTTGTCATTTACTGTATCTGTGTTTAGGTTTGGGTTAGAAGTTATGAGATTTCCTTCAAGCACAGGACACCCGGATTAGTAATATAACTGGGGGAAGTTCTGAGCAGAAACATTAACAACAGCTCCCAGAATTCACAATTCCAATTCTTTGCTTTACTAATGACAGTAAAACCTCCCGAATGGTTCTGCATATTCATGCGGCATATTGGAGTGAGGGTGTTAGTTAAAAGATGATGACCCTCCCCTACGGATAAATAAAGTACTTAAACAGCTGAAAACATGAGGGCAGGGAGGCATTAGCCTCTTTCCCCTTAAGTGTATTAGAGAAAAATGCAACTTCAGTGTGTCAATGTTAATGTTCCCCATTGCAGTGCAGGGGACAATTCCACGGTTTCCTTTGCCATCGTTCAAGCCAGTCAGAAGGACCAGGGCCTCTATTATTGCTGCATCAAGAACAGTTATGGAAAAGTGACTGCTGAATTCAACCTCACGGCTGAAGGTAAACTGCAGCTTTTCGATTTCCAATGGAAACCACTAGCCCCGACCAGTTCAGAATGGATATTTCCACTGAAGCCGTTCTCTTGTCTTCTTCTAGTTCTCAAACAGCTTTCGAGTCACCAGGATACTAAAGGTAAGCCAATTTGGGTGGGCTGCAGAGGATGTGGGCGTACCAGAGAGCATGAAATAGCTCTTCCAACCAAGTAGGAGAGAGCGGTGGCACGGCTGAGCAATGAATGACAATTCACGAGCCATTTCAACGTGGTAGGAAGGGCCCTACTCCTACTGTAATTTCGTTAGGCTGCGAACACCCAGAGGGTAACATTTATGACAGAGATCAGACTGTTGCGGTGTGGTTGGGGGAACACGGGGAGAGGGAGTTTGGATGTGACTTTTTTTTTAAGCATCAGACTTGCGTTCACCCCTTCTGTGTAGGGTTTTCAGTCTCTGGCGCTTATACAGTAGGTTTTGTCTCCTTGCCTTTTTTTTTTTCAGTTGGACTAGTTGAGCAGATTCCCAAAGACAGCCAGTGTCTGGAGAGCAACTGCATTCATTTGTATCTTGATGAAAATCAAGCTGGGTTTTTCTGCTTTGACACTTGGGGCAGCAACAGCCTAGCCTCACAGCAGCTCCCGAACACTCAGGCTGCCCCTGGGTGGCAACTCAACTGAGCTGTCCACAGTTTGGTGGAATCCAGGCTTTCCATGGATTCTCTCTTAGGGAAAATGAGTCACCCACCCATGCCCACCCCTACTTAGTGGTGTGCGGGTATAAATATTTAACAACCTGCTGGGGCTTGGGGAATTTGTAGAGTTTTCCAGTTTCCGTGGTGTAAATACTCAGTGTGGCCAATTTTAAACTGCCAACATGACATCACAAATTGCGGTGCTGGGAAGAGGTTCCCGTAACCAGTTCTCAGGAGCCGGAGCACACTGGCCCTGCACACCGCCGCGGTCCTGTCTTAACCCCATGTTACCACAATTTTTAGCACAGGGCAGGACCCTTGGTCAGTTTTAGGAAGGATATGGATAAGACTCTGACAGTTAAATTGAGTCAGCCTCTTACAGATTTGCCACATGTGCTGATTTTTAAAACACAATACCTGAAATCTCTGCGAAAACGGGCAATGAAAGTAAACGAGATGCACCGACATCCCGTACATTAAAAGCAAGAAATTGAGATCTTGACTTGTAAATGGTCTAGCAAATGTGGTGATATTTATCCAAAATAATACACTTAAAATACAAACTCTTTATAAACGCACACAAATGCTAAATCCCTGCCTTTAGTGTGTAGTGTACTTGTGTTATAATTTAAAATCTTTCCCCCATTTCTGCTCTCATCTCCTCAAAAGTCAAAATAAGAAAAAGACTCCCTTTCCTTCTTATACTTCAGAAAACAAAATGCCTCTCACGATTCTGTTTCCTCAGCTTCTTAGCATCAATTGGCATTCACATCTCAAATACGTGCTGTGACTTTACTAATTTGGGTTTGCATGAACTTATTAATCATGGGTTTTGCCAGTCGAGAGTGAGACCCCAGTGCGGATAAGCTACTGGCCACCTGGTGGAAATGGTGCCACCGCTGCAGCCCAGTGACTCCCACCATCGAGTCTGGGTCTGAACCTGGTGACATCACCTTCTCCCATCCTCTGACCCCACTGTGACTGGGGTTCCAGTTTCACTGACTTGCCAGGCTGAGGAGGCCATATCTGGCCTCTCCCTACCCTGGTACCTTCAGATGACAATGCTTAAAATAACTTTTAATCACTTTTTTATTCAGAAGAATCTCTCCCTAAACACTTCATTCATTTGACTCTCTATAGGAGGAACGCATAACATTTACAAGTTGCTCTCTAATTAAAACACGAATAAAACCAAGCTCATGGGAAAGCTAGAAATGAGTGATGGACCAAATGAAACACAAGCCAGCCTGACTTAATAATGTTATTGCATTTTATGAATATGTTCATGGGCGGTTTTTCTCCGCCTCAGAGCAGTCCTTGCCACCAGCAACTGCAGGTGTGCACGCGGTTTCTCTGTGAGGCTGGGATTCAGATTTCATGACTTACGGGGATAGCATAGCCCCTTAGAGAGATGTTCCGATTTGCCGACAGCCATTTGCACAAGACTGTTTAGTGGATTCCAACGAGTCTTTCCTGGTTCTTTCGCATGGAACTGCCCCCCTCAGGTACCGTGGGCAGCTTGCAGCGTGAGTCCTAGCAGTGGGTGAGTCTGCAAAGCTTCAGAGAAAATCTCACCTTCACAACCCGAGATATGAACTGCCACACTCCTGTCTTTCCTGGGCCTCCCCTCCGGTGCTCAGGGTTCCTGTTACCTGAGTCCCTCTTACCAGAGGAGAAATTAAAGGACCAATTTTTACTGCCATCTCTCAATTTAAAAAAGGTCTAAGCTCTAACTAAGGTGACTCGCACATTTCAGGCATTGCTACAGAAGACAGTTTTGGATAGCAGATCCCTGTAGATTTCTGCAAAGTTGCAGGGGAAATGCCTGCTTCCTCTCTTCCTCCGCAAAGGAAGGCCCGATGGACGAGTTTCAGCTTGGAACTTTCCACCTAAAACCCCAGCTCTTTTCCCACAGGACTTTCGAGAGACAAAGAACAGTCCTAAGATTTATTATTTTTTTCTGTCATGGTTTTATCTTTGTTAAGTAAACGTTTCTGTTAGAAATTATAGACAAAATTGTTCATTCTACCACATGTAGTACTGCATAAAAACATTTTCCTTTCTATTTCTGGGCCAACTTTCATCTGTAGTTGATTAAATTTAATGAATTTTAAAAAGCATAAAATGTATAAACTTTTTGCTTTTAATAATTAAATTGTAGAAATTTTGGGATTTTGAAGGAAAACAGGATGTGGCGTCTATGTCTCACATTTAATGGGCTCTGGTGTATGTACATAAGACATTTCCTATATTCTTTAAGTGGTATAGAGGCCGATTGTTAATCATATAACTAGAACTGAGAAAGTTTGGGTTATATAAAAAGCATTCCCTCATCTATTTTCTCATCTAAATTTTAATTTAACTGTTAAAAAAATAAAACTATACTTTTCTCCAAAAATTAAAATTTTTTTCTGGTTCTATTACTTAAAATCTGTGACACAACTATTGCCTAACAATTTAACTAAGAAAATGTTTCCTTTGCCTGTTTTCCTGCAGTTATACCCCAATTCTCTCCAGAAACCCAGACCAAGTTACTAAGTAGGAGTTGTAGGGGAAGAAAAATAATTTTTGCTTCAACCCCCATAAGTTCTTAGTTGGAACAGATCCTTGTAACAAAAGAAGATTAATAAGAGAAAAACAGAAGTTTATTAACATGTTCATTTCATATGTACATGGGGAACACCCAGGGAGTGAGGAGTTCTCCGAGAAGTAGCTTTGAATTTCAGCTTATATAGAGTCTTCAGCAAAGAGAAGTGTCGACAGAGGGAAGGACTTTGAGTCTCCAGGGGCGGCAACTTGTGGGAGGGCAAATAAATGGCAGATGAAATCTAGTTGGTAAAGCTTGTTAATGTAGATTCCTCTGATACCATCTTGAGGCCCAAAAGGTCTAAAGTTGTCCTCAGTGGCTAATCTTTGTTCTCCTTGGTAGAAAAGGGGGTGGGATATCTATGTTTTCATAAATTTATGTTCTGATCTTAGGCAATCAGAGCGAGGGTAGAGAGCTTTCTTGTGTCTCCTTTGTCTTAACTGTTCAGCTCAGCAATCCTCTAGCCAAAGAGGCAGATGTGGGGTGGCATATGGAGGGCTCCCGTAGTCGTCTGCTAGCCTTTGTGACAACATTTGGAGCGTCTTTCTGAACACCCTCTTTCTTCCGGCGGCTTCTAGATCTTCACCCAGTTTTTCTATTCGAAACTCCTGCCTTCTCCCTTTCTTTCTTTCTGGCAGTAACTAGGCCTAGAACTTGATCAATGTCCTTTCAGAATAGTTTCAGTCTCCCTATAGTTTTAGTAGCTAGTGTCAGTCATGGACTGCTCTTCAATCTCATGATTTGAAAACACTTCGAAAAGAAGAGAACTATTTCTCTAAATGTTCTATGTAGAAACGTGAAGTAGGATTTTCACATGACCCGTGATTTCTTTCTTCTTTTAAATGCTCAGGAAGACGTCAGTTTTCATCAACTTTAAGGATTGGAAGGAATTTTTAAAAATCTAAACAAATTTTATTTCATTGAAAGCCATCTTATCTTCTTGTCTCCGTGAATCAGAAGTCTGATTCCATCATCTCCGATTTGAAATGGAACATCCTGATGGAATTCATTGCCATCTAAAACACGTGTAGAATCAACTCTGAAAAAAAACAGCTGCCAGAAAACTGAGAAAATAATTCTACTTTTTTTTTTTTTTTTACGGATAATTCCAGAATAATTCTAGCCTTTTTCAATTTCTCTTCAAAGACAATTTCTTTTACTTTTTTGTTTTGTTTTGTTTATTGCCTACTTGTTTCTTGTGTCTATCACATGCTCCCCAACGGGGACAAAATTAGTATTTGGGAGGCAAAAAAAAAATCTTACTTTTTTGTGTATAATGCACAGATATATATATAGTATATAAACAAATACATAGTATATCTGTGGTATTAAAATTTCATGGGGGTGTGATTAGAAAAAAATTACCTAAAAAGGCTTCAGGGAAGCAAAGAAAAAAAGGTTACTACAATACTAACAGATCACATCATTGGTCTTTTCTCTTCTGCACTTTACCCATCTTTTAATTAATAACTTGCCTTTTGTTACCCTGCATGGTTCTGCTTATATTTTTCTAGATGTCTCTAGAATTCTTTCCCTAGTCTCTCAGTTTTGCTCCAAAGTCTGATCCATTGAGGCCTCAGACTGATCTTCCCACAACCCCATTCAGTGACCCGTCTCCTCCTCACCACCCCACCCACCTCTTCTGTTAGCTGTGCCTCTGTTGGTAGTTCACCATGGCTTGTCCCTCTCGGTTCTGTAGGTTGGCCTTGTCGCTGTCCCCATGTGGGAACCCTCCCCGTGTGGCGTTAGCCAAAGAGCAGGGCTGGGGGATATTCTGTCCAACCACAGCTGTGCTGTGTTGCAGGATGTGAAGAGATTGAATTCAGCCAGCTCATCTTCAAAGAAGACTTCCTCAACGACAGGTACTTTGGGGGCCGCCTGCGGGGCCAGATTGCCACGGAGGAGCTGCATTTCGGAGAAGGGGTCCACCGCAAAGCCTTCCGCAGCAAGGTGATGCGGGGACTCACGCCTGTCTTCAAGCCTGGCCACGCCTGCGTGCTCAAGGTGCACAACGCCGTGGCCTACGGGACCAGGAACAATGAAGAGCTCGTCCAGAGGAACTACAAACTCGCCGCCCAGGTGGGTCCCTCTGCCCGAAAGGTGTCACTTTTGGTGTGAGAGAGACTCGTGGCAATGTGAGATGAAAATCTGACTCAGAATTGGTGGGAGTGCCCCCAAAAGGGTGTTTTCCTTCCTTTGGGCTGTGGTTATCAGGGTGCCCCTGCAGTAAGGATGGATGCTGAAAATCACTTCTTAGTTCTCAGAAGCGATTTCCTGGCCTCGTGCCAGCTAGTTGAAGCTCTGCCAATGCCTGGTGACGCCTCCCCAGATCTGATCCCAGATGTAATCGTTTCTCTTCCTAAGAAGCGCGATGAGACCCCAGGAGGTGGGGGGAGAGGGGAGGGTTGAATCTACCTGGATGTAGGATGATGTAGAAAGTGGGGGGTTTAAGCTACACTGGATGCCAGGGTCTCCAAGGATCCCCAAGGACAGATAAAATCAGCACGAGTTTCTGGAGTGTTTTGGTTTGTTTTCTGGAGGGGAGGAATGGTGGAGTATATTCAGAAGGGTCAGCGTTTGTCTTGTTTCCTGCCTTCCTGAGTTTGGCTTAATGTCAACCTATAAATGATGAAGAGAGATCGACCCAGGTCCCCAGCTAAGGTTCCCCGCTTGGTGCTATTGAGTCACAGAATGCTGGAGGCGTGAAGGGAGACGTGGGGTGCGTTAGCTCCTCTCCCTGCTCCCCCTCCCTGCTGGATGCCTGTATTTCACTTTTGACGCCAACATTGGTGAGGCCATCAGGAGAGCTAGGTCAAGTTTTTTCACAAGCTTTCTGCTCTTTTAAAATTTTTACCTTTAATATTGATAGGTGAAACTTAGATGAACTTCTCAGGTACTGTCAAGCATTAAGCATCATGACCCTGTGGCGGTGTTATGTAGCACTTTGTACTCTGCCCAAAGTATAGAATTTTGTCAATTGCATTCCTTTCTCCTCCGAATATACCCGTCTTCCTTTTTTCTTTCCCTGAGTATTCCTTCCACCTCAAGTATGACCCAGTCCTGGAAAACCTCCCATCCAGAATCCCGCCCAGATAGGCCCTGCAGAGTAGGAAGCAAAATCTACTTAGCTCTTCCCAAGCCAGAAACCTTGTCAAGTGTTATTTACTGCTCCAGTTATACCTTGGAAAAGGAATCACGATGGGAGACCTCACGGGAAACCCAGCAGGGTCCCGAGTGTTATCTGACGTGGCCATGAGGGGCCAGTGCCCTAAGCTCGGGGGTGAATTTCAGCCATGCTGGTTCTAGAAGTGTTATATATAGTTCAGGGACACCTGCCTCTGGAGACCACTTGACCGTCTCTTGGATAATTCCTTCACCTCTCAGAGCTCCTCTGTAAGTGGCCAACTCTAGGTAGCACTAATTATTATTATTATTATTTTTTTAAGACAAAGTCTCACTTTGTTGCCTGGGCTAGAGTGAGTGTCGTGGCATCAGCCTAGCTGACAGCAACCTCAAACTCTTGGGCTCAAGCACTCCTTCTGCCTCAGCCTCCCGAGTAGCTGGGACTACAGGCATGTACCACCATGCCCGGCTAATTTTTTCTATATATATATATTTTTAGTTGTCCAGATCATTTCTTTCTATTTTTTAGTAGATACGGGGTCTCACTCTTGCTCAGGCTGGTCTTGAACTCCTGACCTTGAGTGATCCACCAGCCTCGGCCTGCCAGAGTGCTAGGATTACAGGCGTGAGCCACTGCGCCCGGCCATAGGTGGCACTAATTATTGCTCCTGTGACCCCAACAAGGGGGTGGGTTTGGGAATCCATTGGCTTGACCTGTATTGAGAAATCTCCCAAATAATCTTCCCAGGCAACGCACTGTCTGACTTTCTTCTGACCACTTGCATTCCCCATTTGTTTGGATGATACAGGAATGCTACGTTCAAAACACTGCCCGCTACTATGCCAAGATCTACGCGGCTGAAGCACAGCCTCTGGAGGGCTTCGGAGAAGTGCCCGAGTAAGTGCGTTTACTCTGTCTCGTGCTACCTCCCTGACTTGCTGGGGACTTGGGGACCTGGAGGGACGAGAGTGTGAGAAGGACTAGGACACGTGATTCAGTGGGTCTGTCTGTCCGTAAATTCCATGAGGGCTCACCTAGCTGCTCTCCTGCTCCTTGCTGGCTCTCCAGAAGTTTGCAGAGGGATACTTGATAAATATTCTTTGAATAAATGGATGTATGCATGGATGGATGGGTGAGCGTGTGGATTAATTTATCCAATAAATGAATCTACCATGTCAAATAGAAAAGGTATCTACTCTCATGGATATTATATTGTCTAAACGATAAGCAAATCTAAGAGAATATCACAATACAATTAGTCCTATGAAGAAAATAAGATGTGGCAACGTGTCAGGGAAGAGTGGGTTAGGTGATCAGGAACATGGTAACGTAGTACCCACTTCCTGGAATCCTCCAGAGCTAAGTTGCACTGATCACTTTTATCCACTCATCGCCTAAATATTTATTGGCCCCAGCAAATTTGGGGGAGTCTGGAGCTTGTATTTATGGTTCTGTTTGTCTGGTTGAGAGCATATTTCATGCATAAGTGGACAAAGAAAGGGCTTTGCCAGTGCACGTTGGAAATTTCAGACAGAGCAGCTGTTTATTAGTAAGAACTGGGAGAGGAAAGAAGGAAGGAATTCTTGTTTGCATGGCCTGTTAACTCCAAAATGGGAAAAATACTGTCCCTTAGGTGGTATACTGGGCAGACTATGTATAAAGTCTAATACATTCTGCTCTTTGTCAAGAAATGCTTCACAAGCTTATTTAGTACACAAATACTTCTCAGCAACGTCAAGAAAAATTAATGTAATGCAAAGAAAAAGCACTTACGGTTGCTTTTCAGTTAACTACACAGAGCCAGCCATTTGGACCGAGTTAGGGTGTCACGTTGGAAGAAGTCGGCCTCTGCTCTTTCTTGTCAACCGCTCCTCTTCCCAGTCTCCGTCTTCTTAACTTTTCCTTGAGGGAAGAAAAAATTGAACTCACTAATCAATCCCACCACACACAAAGCCACGGTGCCCTCCCACAGGGATAGAACCAAGCTTTGTGTGGCTTGACTCTTACATAATCTGAGGCCCTTTCTAAGGAAAAGAACACAAAATTATGAACATCGAGATTGATCTCGGGACTTGGAAAGGGCCCGGGCAAGTGAGGGATGCAGGGGCTGATGAATCAGCTTCGTTGCCGTCACGGTAAGTAGGTCACTGCCCTGGAGGTAGATTAGGACATTTTTCTATCTCCAACACCTTTCCCTGCCTTGCAAGGGGAGAATTTGTGACCGCACGAATGATGGCAGTATATGGAGGGGTCAGGTCCTCAGAAGGGCATCTGGGCCGGACTCCATGTTCAGAGGATCCCACAGCCAGAACACACACACACACACACCCCTGCCCTGTACATTCCCAGCCTTCTCTGAAAGCCCACGTGTCCAGGGAGAACAGAGAGCCCCCTGCACAGACCCCCATGTTTATTTCCAGACACTGAAGCAGGCCTAGAGAAGTTCTCTTTTGTGGAGCTTGTGGGGTCTTGGAAAGAAAACACTCCCTGCTTGGGTAGCTGCTATTTTTGAATTCATGAATATCAATACAGTCCCATTGTCTATGCAAATGGTGTCCCACTGAGCAGAAGCGGGCCTCATTAAGAACCTGAATAATGCCCAGTCCTATTTTCTGCATTTCTTCCCCCACAGGGCTGCAAAATTAATAAGAACCCAAGCGAGCTGAGAATCTTTGTGCTCTGAGGGTCAGTAGACAGAGGGGAACATCTAGGGGTCCTCAGAGGGTCCTCAGGAGGAAACCAGGATGCGCTGAATTCTGCAAAGATGACTAAGCATGACAAAGGGAGGCTTCATGGCCAGGCCGATTTCAGGGGTGCAGGCAAAGGCCCACAGCCCCAAATGTGCCCACTCCCATCTGGCTGGTACTTGAAATTTCTTTAATGCGACAAAAAGAGCTTCTATTTAAAAACTAGAAACAATGCTTCAAATGACGCTGGCATGAGTTGCCATCAGGTGTTGGAGGGGTGTTGGAGGAGCCGCCACTGGTGTTGGAGGGGCCGCCTGCTTCTTGTCTGTGGACGAGGTTCTAGAAGGACGCGGATCTGGTCCAGATTCAAGCTTCCGTGTCCTCATCCGAGCAGCGGGGGGATTCTCACACTCTCTCAAGGGCATTCTTGTGGAAGGCAGAGGGGATAAGTGCGTGCCTTCAAAGGCCTGGGAGCTTAGTCCACGGTAGCTGGCCTGCAAGGTCCTTTCTTTGAACTATTCCATTCTATATCTTTTACATTCTTTTGAATTTTATATCCTTCTTTCCTCGATGTATTTGTTTTAAAAAAAAAAATAACATTTTTCCAACCACCTTTGACTCAAGTTGAGGTGGAGCCTTCAGCTTACCTCCGGGAGAAGGCCCAGCAGGTGGAGAGCGCAGGTCGATGTTCTGGGAGAACACACTCTGCTGTCACAGCGGGAGAGCAAGTGGGCGGCGGGGCCTGTCCTCAGGCTGGTGTGTGAGTGGCGGTCCAGAGCCCGAGGCCCGGCCCAAGCCTTCCCTCCATCGTGGGAGAGGCCTCACCTGCTCATTCCACTGGGAAAGGTGGTCTAGTGACTGTAGTTCCCACTGAGAAAGAAATAACGGTATTTTTTACAGTATTTTCAAAGGGAGAGGGAGGTCACATTGGCAGTGGGGAGCCCCACCCCCCAGCTCTGCTGACCCAGTGACTTTTCCTAAGTTTGGGTCTACACTGTTACCTTTAAAGATCCTGACTCAAAACCTATGCCACTTTTGAGGCATTTTCATTGAAGAGCTCTTTGTGGGCTTTACAAAAAAGACAGACACCGACCATCATCCCCTACCCCAACCCCAACCCAGGGCAGCCATCACTGTCTTTGGATGCATGTGACTCTGCTGTGGCCACTTGGTCATCATCTCTCTGGCCACTTGGCCCCCCCCAGAAGTCTACTTTCTTAAACATATGTCAGTTAGGGGCCTACATTAGGGCCCTAACTCATGTGGGAGGCTGGGAAAAATGAGTTCTTCACTTTTTGCCATGTTGCATTTGAGATGCCCGTTAGACCTGGTGTGGAGGGGTGGGTTGGCTGCTGGGCGTGCGGGTCGGGAACTCAGGGGAGAGGGCTGGGCTGGAGGTACAAGCTTGGATGCTGCTGGCACACGAATGGCATTTAAAGCAAGGAGGTCACTAGGGGGTGTGTGCAGAGAGAAGCACTGTCCGGCAGGTCAGAGCCTAAAGGTTGGGGAGAGGGTGAGGAACCAGCAAAGGAGACAGAGAAGAAATAGCTGGAGAGGCAGAGGAAAGCCGAGAGGGAGTGGCCTCCGGAAGCCAAGGGACGGTGTTGCACAAGGAAGTGAGAGACTGGGTGTGTCCAGAGCTGCTGAGAGCAGGCACCGTGAGGGCTGAGCAACATGGTGGTCGTGGTGCTCTGGACAGAAGCCTCTCTAGAGGGAGGGCTCCTTTGAGACGCTCAAGAGAGCAGGGGGAGGGGAGGGATTGGAGGCGGTGGGTCTGCACGTGATGTGAGTTGCGAGGTGAGCGTGAGTCGTAGTTGGAGTGGGCTGTGTAGGGTTATCACAGCGTGTTGCTCACCCTTGGGAATGATCTGCAGAGGAAATATTGATGGAAGAGAGTGGCGCTGGGGAAGAGAGGTGGGTGATCCGGGGCAAGAGGAGGAGGTAGGAAATAATCCCCTAGGGTGACATGACAGTGAACGCATTAACACTGCAGAACCCATCCAGCGCCTGATTTGGTCCCCGCCCCACTTCCCGCTGCCATCGTTACTGCGCAGCCTCCTGCCTGTCTCCCTGCCCCGCTCTCGCCCTCACCCCGCATGTTCTGCACAGAGGGCAGCGACCTCGTAACACAGAGGCCTGAGCACCTCCTCCCCTTGCCCAAGACCCTCCAAGGGCTTCTCATCCAGCTCGATGGAAAGGGCAGAGTTTTTCAAGTGGCCTCCCAGGTCCCCCGAAGCCAGGCTTCCTGTCCCCTCCCTGCCTCGCTCAGCCCCGCCACTGTCCCATTCTCCCCTGGCTCACTGCACCCCCACCATAGGGCAAGTGCTACTGCCCAGGGCCTTTTCCACTTGCTGTTCCTCCTACCTGGAACGCTCTTGCCACAGACATCCCTGTGGCTCCCCTCGCTCCCTGCAGGCCTCTGCTCAGATGTTCCTTACTCATTAGCAAGATCTTCTCTGACTCGCTAAATAGAACCGCAGCCCCTCCCCGCCCCGGTGCTGCCTGTCTTCTGTTCGCTGCTTGATCTTTCCACCTGGCACTGAGCACCACACACCCACGTGTTTATCGTCTGTCTCCTGCATTTAAACGTAAGACCCACGAGAGCAGAGCTTTGTTTTCTTCACTGCTGTTTTGGGGAATTGCTTCTGGAAGAGCATTTGACACATAGAGGCCACTGAGTAATACTTGTTGGCTGAATGAAAAGAAAGAAGGATAAACGGATGGATGAGTGGATGGAAGGAAGAAAAGAAGGATGAATGCATGGACAGGTGGATAGATGGAAGGAGGGGTGGATAGGTGCATTATAGTCATTGCCCAATGGATCATTAAGATATGACTATAATAAAGACATTCACTTCTACACGAGCAACTCTCCCAAGGAGGAATTTTTAAGAATGAATAAAAAATAGAAACATATCCTCTTACTCATTGGATAATCATTGGGAAGATCTTTAAACCTAACGGGATGTGGGGATCAATTCTGCAGCTCCACACGGCTCCGGGTAGAGGGCTTCCTTCCTCCCTGAGAGCCCATGCACCCGTGTTCTCTCTCCTGCCAGGATCATTCCTATTTTTCTTATCCATCGGCCTGAGAACAACATCCCTTATGCCACAGTGGAGGAGGAGCTGATTGGAGAATTTGTGAAGTATTCCATCAGGGATGGGAAGGAAATAAACTTCTTGAGGAGAGAATCAGAAGCTGGTCAGAAATGTTGTACCTTCCAGCACTGGGTCTACCAGAAGACAAGTGGCTGCCTCCTAGTCACGGACATGCAGGGTGAGGAGCTTGACCTGGGTTCCAGGGATGCTGTGGGCCTGGGATATTCCTGGGGGGAGGGGAAGTAGAGGTCTGCTGGGCGCCTACAAGCACCTTGACCTTCAGAAGATGTTTCTAATCTCTCATCAGAAGCAAGGTTTTACCAAGGAGCCAGAAATGACCAGCCAGATGGCGTCACAAAGTTCATTTTAATAATTCATGCCAAGATGGGCCGGGCGTAGTGGCTCACGCCTGTAATCCTAGCACTCTGGGAGGCCGAGGCGGGTGGATTGTTTGAGCTCAGGAGTTGGAGACCAGCCTGAGCAAGAGCAAGACCCCATCTCTACTAAAAAAATAGAAAGAAATTGGCCAAACAACTAAAAATACATAGAAAAAATTAGCCTGGCATGGTGGCGCATGCCTGTAGTCCCAGCTACTTGGGAGGCTGAGGCAGAAGGATCGCTTGAGCCCAGGAGTTTGAGGTTGCTGTGAGCTAGGATAACGCCACGGCACTCTAGCTTGGGCAACACACACACAAAAAAAAGGAATATTAGTTTTTTCTTTGTGGGAAGATTTCAAAGATTATGGTTA